ACCGAGAACCGGGATCATATATGCTTATCCTCTGCCCCTTCCGGCCTAAACCCTACCTGGACCCTAAAGAACCTCCCTTTGAGGGTTCCTTATTATGATTTCCTTATATAAGTCCTTAAAAAAGGTAGGTTCTTCAGGGTCCAAGTAAGCCCTAAACCCCAAACCCTAAACCCTAAAACGCTGAAGTCTGGCAAGCCCCGTCTGAGAGAGAAAGCCCCCAAGCCTTCCCTAGCCCATTACTTCGGATGCAGACACCTTAAAGACGAAATGAAGCCTAAAAGGGTTTAAGGTTCATATACCATATAGGGGTTCATAGTATAAGGGTATAGGGCCCTTGCTTTTAAGGGTCTCTTGGTCCTTAAGGCAGTACAGACTGCAAGTCATACCTCTTGCTTGCTACGGTTAGGCAGGGTTAGGCGCTACAATCCATGGTCTTTGACTTCATAACTATGATGTCCGCGCTTTTATGCGTTGATGAAAGTTTGGGGCTAACTGCAGGATTCACGTTCTCGGGTCGGGATGCGCGATCACGAACGCCGAGGAAGAAGCACGGTGTAGACCTGAGCAAAATGGACTGGTCCACCATCTTCGCCACTTTTCGAGGCGCCGGCGTCTCTTTCCTGCGTTCTGTATGGCCCTATGGCTGCACAAGCTCCGAAGCTGTGAAGACATGTCTTAAAAGACGATACTAGACCCCCAAAGCCGCAAAGCCCAAAGCCTTGGTACGTTTGCGATGGGGTAGCTTTACATACGGCAGTGACACGCGGCAAACCCTCGAGCAGTACAAACTCTAATAATTACTCTAAGATACGGGCCTCACTGCATGAGTAATGTCATGTGTTTCCTGAGTGTCAGTGTGTGCGTCAGGACATTTGCAGCTGTGCTTCCGCCAACGGTTTTCAACAAATTCCCGCCCGCCCGGGAGTGGTGGGTAGGCGGTATGTGTTACCGTACAAATACGTACACAATGAAGTGCCCTTGGGCGGATTCCATGAGCATCTGTGGCGATTTGCATAGAATGTATCGCAGCCAAAACCGAAAGACTGTTCGCAGATGCCACGTCGTGTAATATAGAAGCTTCAAGAATTCCCACTATTACTGTCAGGGTTCCTGATTGTAAAAATACTAGGCCCCTATATTATCTGAGGGGGACCCTAAACCCTAAACCCTAAACCTTAAACCCTAAACCCTGAAACCCTTAAACCCTAAACCCTAAACTCTAAACCGTTACATCCCAACTTCCGAAAGCCAAAGCCCCCCGGAAGTCTGGCTGCCCCTCCCGGTCAAGGACATGGACCCCCAGATCCGCCTTTAGGGTTTAAGGGTTTAGGGTTTAGGGTTTAAGGGTTTAGGGTTGAAGGATTTGGGGTTTAGGGTTTTAGG